AAGGTATAAGGGAATTTTAAGCGAAGCGTGCATGGTTTTTTTATATTCAATTTTGTACCTTTACAGTCGATTTTGTATTACGAGGGGCATGCCGTCTGTACCTTTACAGTCGGCTACTCTCCATTGAGTATTTTACTCACAATACTTAGCTAAAAAGATTAGGGCCTGGCCGACCCTGTGCCTACAGGCGGCTACCCTTCTTTTACTTAGCACCTACGTTCACCAAGAACTTACCAAGGCAACCGGCCGAATGATCAGACCAGGCGCCAAGCCACCTGATCAATTTACAAAACTAATACGACCTGTCCCAACATCATAGCAAGCGTCCGACGGCATCCCTCCGGATGAAATTCGTCGCAGAGAGCAGCTCCCTTTTGGGTGGAACATTGTTCTATAAACTAATTACACGGCACCTATACGACTGTCCCCAAGGGCAACCACGTAGCCGTTTTTGAGACAAGGATAACTCTATCACTAACCAAACCAGTGGTAGCAGTTGACATCTGAGTCAGATGACCGCCTGTATTACTTGGGATAAATGCAGGGGGTACCTATTGAGTTAATAGCCAACAAACATTGGCGAATCAAGGGGTCTAGCCGGCCTACGCCGCCTGGTACCTCTACTTCTCAAACAAAAGTGGCGGCGACTGAGTAACTCCAACGTTAACTCATAGTCACTCCTTCAAACTTGGTATGGAACCTAAAAAGTTTGAGTCGTCCGCCTGTTTTAAACAAACAAGGGCACTCAAACCCCTATTCCTACTAGGTAACCTATTGAGTTAATAGCCAACAAACATTGGCAAATCAAGGGGATCAGCCGGCCTCCGCCGCCTGGTACCTCTACTACTCAATCTAGATTGTGACGAAGACTAAGTAACTCTTATGTTAACTTAATAGTCACTCAAACTTAGTATGGAGCCTAAAAGGTATGAGTCGTCCGCCTGTTTTTAACAAACAGGGGCTCTCAACCACTACTCTTGCTAGGTTAACAAATTACGAGTTAAAAGCCAACATTGGCAATAAAGGGAAACAACCGGTACCCGCCGCTTGTTATCCTACTTAATTCCTTGGCGACTAGGTAATACTATTTACTTGGTCAGACCGATTGAATAAATGGCCGACTGATCGCCCAGCTTGGAAACAGACAACCAGTCGTCCAGGGGCATAGGCGGACCATCCGTACCTGTCTATAATCGGCCATGCAAAACAGTCGATATAGTGTACAATGCAATATCAAATATTCAACACTTAGACAAATTTCAAGCAAAAAATGATTTCATTAATGAAGATAAAAATATTCAGAACCCCGGCCCCCTGGCCGGGTAAATACAAAGCAAACGGCACGCAGGCCGTGGAAAAAATACTTTAAGCTTAAGAAGGGGACAGTTCAGTATTAGCAGTTGCCGCCTGGTCAGCACTCTTCTTGCTGGACTCGGCTTCAGCTGCATCCTTTTTCGATGCCTTGCCCCCAAGTGGCACAAGCGCCACAACCGGCTCATCCTCAACCAAGGCTTCCTCCAACGCCTCGTCCTCAGCAGCCGCCAGGATCTCTTGATTATATATTTCAGAACACTGGCGGTACGTTTTTTCCCACGAGGCAAAGTCGGCACTGGGGAAGAGGCGGCTCCAGGTCATGCGCTGGATCTGGGAAGAGTCTTCAATCATCTCTCGGACGAGCTCTCTCTTCTCTTGCTCAGCCTTCTCCGAGAGCTCTCTCTTCTCTTGATCAGCCTTCTCCGAGAGCTCTTTGGTTAGACTCTTCTCCTGGGTCACCAGGCGTTCTTTTACGTTAGCCAAGGATTTTTCCATGGTATCGTAGGAGAGTATCTTTTGGCGGAGAGGTTTAAGCTCGGCCTTGAGGTTGGAGACGGTCGCCTCCAGCTCGCTGTTCCTCTTCTGGGCCGCCTCTAACTGAGCCCGGATAGCGGCGGCAGCCTGCGCCTGATAATAAAGAATATCAATTGTCAGAACTTCATTTTGGGCAATTTGAAACATTGCCTTATCACAGTTAGAGGCGGCCATAGCTTTTGCAGCCTTTACCTCTTTGTTTTTCCGATCAAGCGGCTTGCGAAGGCCGTTCACTCGGAGCAGGGCCTAAGTAAAAAGGGAACAGACGTCAGTTTCCAAACAAGATAACAGGCGTCCTGGAACTCAAATACAAAAAATGCTAAGTATACCTCAGCAAGGACCCCTGCAATCCCATCAAGGTCAAGGGTGCCGACACCCCTGACCGCCTCCCTTTCAGATGGAGGAACTGCTTTGATCATGGACTTGGCTACCTCTACCAAGTCAGGTTCCTGAGGGCCGGCTGCATCAAGCGTAAAAAAGCAAGTTAGACCTAGTCAAGAAGAAAGCAAGTGAGTTCTTTCAAGTAATTGTCCATACTTCTAGGCGGCCCCGCCGGAGTTTTAGAAGAAGTGGCCGGCTGCTTTTCAGCCGCCACTGTTTTCCTGGAAGACCCAGGAGAGCTTGCAACAGTCGTCCTCCGGGCCTTGGGGTCCGGCTGTTGCGAGGAAGAAGCTCTTGGAGTGCCCGACTGAAAAAAAAAAAAAAAAAAAAAAAAAAGTTAGTATATGCATAAGCCAACTCCTAAAAGAGGAAGAGTTTCGAGGCCTACCAAGGGTGCCCCCTTGTTGGGGGAGTCGGTACAAGACTGTTGCATGAGAGAGGCCCGCAACATGGCCGCCGCAGTCTTGGATGCTGTTATTTTACTCATGGCGTCAGCTGTAAAAAATAAACAGCAAAGTTAGTAAAAATCTCAAGTAAACAAGGCGTGAAAAACAGAGTATTTGTCAGGCCGGCTACCTCTAGAGCACCGACTGCTGAGGCCACAGGCGGCCAAAAAGTACTCGTCATAGAGCCACTTAAAGCTCGGGACGCAGTTCAGGGGTACTTGCTCTCGTACCCCTGAAGTAGAGTTCACCCTAGTCTCTACTTTGAAGAGTCCTTTGTCTAGGATCTCTTTTTTAGCCTTTGGGGGAACAGGCGGCATGCTGCGGCCGCCTGCGAGAAGAGGCGGATCCCTATTCCACTTGTTAAAGCGTTTGTTCAGCTCCGTGTCTGAACCCTCGATGATAAGGAAGGTGTTCCGCCAATCCTTCCATTTGTTCGCCTTACCTCTCGTCATGAGGTAGCCCCTATGGCTTGTTAATTGATACCAGCCGGTACCGCCCGACTTAGGGGTCCGGCTGAGATAGTTCATGTGGGCGAAAGCCTCGAAGCTTGGCTCCACCCCGTACATTTCGCACCCGGCCACATAGCCGAGTACGTTTACCCAAGAGTTGGGGGCTAACTGCCATAACCCCAAATCATACCCATCTAAAATCCGCTGAACAGCCGGATGTAATGGGAAGCGCAGTCCAGCTTTGATGGCCGCCTCATAGCAGCCAAAGCAGCCGCTATCATAGCTGGTACCAGCCGGCCAGACGACAGTGTCTTCTGGATCCGGCACGAACAGTAAAAATCCGGGGCCCATTCTGTGGTTAGCTATAAAGCTCTCCACTTTGTCTTTCATGGCCGCGATCCGGCCCCGGGGTACCGTGCAGTAGTAGGGGGTGTTTTCCTCTCTGTAAGAGGCGGACGGCTCCGCCCAATGGCTCCCCTTCTCAACTGCATGAGAAAGCCTCGCCTCTTGTAGGCGGCTGTTTCTTTCTTCTGAGCCTGGAGAAGCGTGGCCAGAAGAGCTGGACTCGGACTCGTCCTCTGACGAGTCCGAAGAGGACGACTCCTCCCCTCTCCTAGAGGGGCCCGCCTCCTCTCCCTCAGAAGGAGCAGGAGAAAAGTTGGACATATCAACGGTAAAATGGGAAGGGACCACCTTGCCCCCTCCCTCAGAACTGTCGGCTTGGCAGCCGCCTTGTTTCCTTTCTACATCTGGCGCTTGGTCAGATGTTTCACTAATGGGCACCCTTTGGGAGGAGCCGTCCGAGTTTGAGATCCTAGCAGTCTTCTTTGTTCTGGCCATCACGTTCTGCATAGACACAGATACAGTCGGACTTTGTATAAAGGGCAAAGATGGGTCCAGAAAAGGGCAGGCGGCACTCCTAGTCCTAGATTCAGCCGTCCCCGGTGACCGGCTGATCACTAACTTAGGTCGTGTCGTGTGCTTCCATGGTGCCATTTCAAAAAATAATAATAAGAAAAAAATTAAGAATAAGAGAACCGACGGTTACCTGAACGAGTGATGACTGATGAAATTCTGAAATCCCTTGCAAACGGCTTGTCAGAGCAGGCGGTAGGCAACAAAAGTGTCAGAGCAAGTTCAGGGGTCCGAATGTTCTCTCGCGAAGTTCTCAAATGTGAAAAATGACCGAAGTCAGCACTTCCTTATATAGGCAAAGTGAGAAGGCGAAGGGTCGCTTCCAAATTCAAAATTTGGGCGGGAAAATCACTCGGCCATTTGCAAGGTGACACCTGCAGCAGGCCGTCGCCTGTCACCATGCGACACCTGTCACAGGCGACACGTGACCAGTCACGTGCCACCTGTGAGGGGCAAATGATTAGGGGATTTTTATCCACCAATCACCGTCTGACAAGTGGACCAACCAGGTTCCGCCACGTGTCTTTCACGTAGGCCAATAGGAGCCTGCCACGTGTCAATTACAGATTCGTCCTCTGCGGACCAATTGAGACACGCCACGTGTCCACCCATGCCAAATGGGAAAACCGGCCACCAAGGCCCAATCCTGTTTAGAGGCCCGGTCAGCCCTAGGTTTACCCTAAACCTAGAGATTGGCACGCTTCTCAAGACTATAAATACTCCTCTTAATCCTCATTAAGAGAAGGAGAACTCTAATAACACACGGATTATACATTAAACACTCTCACCTAGAGAGACTAAACCACTTTAATTTCCGTATTAATTACTCCTTAATCAGGTACTAACTTGACCGTTGGAGGCGGAGCTCTCAGGAGTCTCCGTTATTTTGCAGGTACAGGCGGCCGGTTCCAGTCTCGGTGTTGTAACTCTCCCGCAGGACATCAGAAAACCCCGAAACACAGACCATGCCTCAGATCACCAAGATGCAGTGCTTGGGTCATGTGTTGTCCCTGAATGACACAAGAATTGGAAGAAAAAGAAACAGAACAACTTAGATCTTCACATAATTTGTGGACTGATATCAGATTAAACTGAAAATCAGGGACATACAAAACATCTTTTAGAATCAACTCATCAGTGATTTTGACCTCTCCAATACGTGTCACACAAACCTTAGATCCATCAGGGATTGTGATAGTATTATCAAGGTCAGAAATTTGTTTGTAAGAGTGAAAAACATCTAAATTATGACATATGTGGTCTGTAGCACCACTGTCAATGACCCAAACATCAGGAAGAAAAGACATGAGACAGTGTTTACCTGCAAAGAAAGCAGTGCTAGACTGGTTTGGATCTTTAGGACTCTCTCTCTTCTCATTATCATGAATCTGCTGCTGCTGAACAAGTCTGTTCATTATCTTGCTGCATTGTTCCACTGCCATTTGAGGTGTAAGGACTTCATCAGAGACAACAAAAGATTGCTGAACTTGAGACTGATCAACATCAGAATCACCACCCTGAGCAACATGAGCAGCTCTCTTATTATTCTGAGAATACACATTCTGTTCAGACTCCTTGTTCCAAACATTCCATCCTTGTGGATAACCCTTCAATTTGAAACACCTGTCTATTCCATGTCCAGATTGTTTGCAATAATCACAAAACCACTGCCTCTTATAACCTACAGCATTCTGAAACTTATTGTTACCAAAATTTCCTGTTGAAGGCTGTCTATAAGTCTTGTCATATGGCCTGTCATTGAAACGTCTTCCAGCTCCAAAAGCCATAGGCTCTGTATTAGCCAAGGAACTAACACTCATCTCCTTGTGCTTTTCTTCTTGCATGCACAATCTATAAGCAATGGATATAGTTGGAAGAGGTTGCATCATTAAAATGTTTGTTCTGACCATTCCATATTTCTCATGTAACTTCATCAAAAACATCATAAGCCTCTGATCTTGTTGCATTTTAAGCATCTTCTTGGTGATAAGACAAGTACAATTAGCACGGGAGCAAATAGGTAAAGGCTCATTGATGTCCATTTCATCCCAAATAGACTTAATCTTGGTGAAAAATACAGAAACAGATTCATTAGGACCCTATTGAATATCAGCCAGTTGTTGATACAAAGCATACTGCTGAGTAGAAGAAGTATGACCAAACCTCTCTTCAAGGTCATCCCATAGATCCTTTGCAGTCTTACAAAACCAAACACTCTTTGCAATACTCTTTTCTAGGGCAAACAATAACCATCCTAGAACTAAATCATTGCACCTAGACCATGCCTTATGATCAGGATCAGTAGCAGAAGGTTGTGGTACACTACCATCAATAAAACCTAACTTGTTTCTGGAAGACAAACTTAGGAGAATAGATCTCTTACAGTCACTAAAACCACTCCCATCAAAGACATCAGAAACAAGAGTTTTGTTTGAAGCATCCGAAGGATGAATATAGTAAACACTACCAGGCACAGCAGTAGGATCCATAGAAGATTGTGAACTATTCGCAACCATTTTCAACAGATTCACAATCAACTTTCAAGAAATTTTCAATCAAACACCAAAAGATCAATAATCTCCAGAAAAACCTCAATCCAAGAAAATATCCTCAAACAAACACTTCACACACAATCTTCAAGAAAAATTCAAAGAATCAATCCAAGAGCAACATTAAACACCGTAATCGAACCAAAAATTCAATCGCAACATCAAAGAAAAATCTCAGAATCAATCGCAATCGGAGAAGTCGAACAATTCAGCAACAAATCAATCAAAAAACAATCAACAACGAATCAACTGCTCAGAAAAACACACAATCACAATCTCAGCCAACAATCAACAAAGGAATCGAACACATGCAATGAGAAGAACAAGTGTTCGAGCAACCATACCAGAAAACGAAGAACACCTCAAATAGAGAACATCGCACAGAATCCACAATCGAAGCAGCTCATCAAACAAAGAACACAACAAAAATCAACAGCAGAAAATCGCGGAAAAAAAAACGCTCTGATACCATGTTAATCGTATCAAGAGAGAGATAGCAAAAGCTAGAGAGAGAAAATGAAAGAAGATTTTTTGTGGTCCTTTGGATCAATGATGAAACTTTAATAATCTGTGTAGGGAGTATTGAGTATACAATACGGAGTAGGAGTGAATGAGTGATCACTCTGGACAGTAGTGGATGTATGGATGTGAATTTGTTGAATTGATTAATGGGTCAATGGAATGGTTGTTCTTTTGATGACCACTACTTTCTCAAACCTTTTCTTTCTTTTTTTTTTAATAAGGAAAGGTTTTTTTTTTTTTTTTTTTTTTTTTTTTTTTTTTTTTTTTTTTTTTTTTAACAACAATTTAATGAGGAAAGTTATTGAGTAAAAAATTTGTAATGAAATTGATTATATGAGAGATATTTTTTACTACTCCGTATTAGTCTCTTTAATTACATGGGCAAATTTTTGACATGTAATGTATGCAACTATGCACTGAACATATGTAACAAACTAACGATACCTTATTGCAAAGTCAAATGTTGTACTTAAGTTGAGTTAGAGAAGTACAAGTTTATTGAGTTAGACAGTTATGGGGAGAGTACAAGTTTTTAAATAATAAAGAAACTGAATCGCTATTCGTCGTTCGCAAATTACTGGGTGACGTTCACATTTTTAATTGAAATGACTTTTTTGCCCTTGTGGGTATTTTATCTATTTAAGGGTCCACCATGGGTAAATTTAGTTAGCGACAACATTAAAAACATTACCGAGCCCACCACTTGTGTTAAAAAAATCCCGAGCATTAAAAAATCCCGGTTCCACCATTGTACGGCAATCCCGAGGAATTTAAAAATCCCGGGGCAGAAAAGGAAAGTGTACGGAGTGGTGTTTTACGATGGACGACGACAACGTTCACACGCCGGAGGATTCGACGGAAGAATCTGTAAGTAATTCGGAATATTTTTTTTTTTTGTAAATAGGACATCCGCCCTTTATTTCCGGAAATCTGGGGGAGATCCGCCCAAAATTTCCAGATGTACTGGGGGACATCCGGAAATTTTGGGCGGATCTCCCCCAGATTTCCGGAAATAAAGGGCGGGTGTCTTTTTTTTTGTTTTTTTTTGTTTTTTTGTTTTTTTTTTTTTACGTAATTGTTATTGTTATTATTATTATTATTATTATGGTTATTAATATTAGTTTTGTTAATTTTGTAAATTTTTGTTATGATTATGATTATTATTAATATTATTACTACTATTATTATTACTATTGTTGTTATTATTATTATATTAGTTATTATATGTTAATGTTACGTAGTTATTGTTGTTATTATTATTAGTATTATTATTGTTATTGTTATTATTATTATCATTAGTATTATTATTGTTATTATTATTATCATTATCATTAGTATTATTATTGTTATTGTTATTGTTATTGTTATTATTATTATTATTATTATTATTATTATTATTATTATTATTATTATTACTACTATTAATATTATTATTGTTATTATTGTTATTTTTATTATTATTATGATTATTTGTATTATTATTGTTATTATTATTGTTAAATTTAAAATACTGATCCTTGCGTGTTTTATTTGTTTGTAATGTTATTTTGTTAGGATTCGGAGGTTGAAGACGACGGTGACGTTGTGAATTACAGTGCACATTTTGTGACAGACACGGTTTTTCTAACGTTTGACGATGCAGTTACATGGGCGGATGCTGTTGCAATAAATCTGGGATTTATTTTGGTGAAAGCGTCTTTCAACAAACAGAGGGATGGTCCACCAGTTCGATATTTAAGATGTGACCGGGGACGCAGGAGTAAGCCGAGAGATCTTGAGAACGCAATTCAGAAGGACACCAAAACCAAGGGGATTGGTTGTCCTTTCTACATCAAGATATGTTACGAGTTCGTCACCAATACTTGGTTTATCCGGGCAAAAGATGATGTAACTGGGACCCACAACCATCCAATGATTGCGTATCCAGAGGGTCATCGTAAAATTAGTGGGTTGAGCCCGAATGCGAAGCAGGTTGTGCGTGACATGACGAAGTCTAAGGTTGCACCGCGTAACATCATGGCGACTATTGCGGAGCAATTTCCTGATGATCATCCAAACATCAGACACATCTACAACTGCCGGAATGACTTCAGAGAGGAGATGTCTGATGGGAGAGGAGTTGTTCAGCAATTTCTATATTTGGCGAGACAGAGTCGGTATGTTTACTGGGTCATGTCCGATGATGAAGGCGTTTTACAGCACGCCTTTATGGCGCATCCGGTCATGGTAGACATCCTACGGACGTACCCCTATGTGATCGGTATGGATTCCACTTACAAGACTAACCGATACGGTATGCCGTTCTTTGAGATAGTTAGGTGACACCAACAAATCAGAATTTTCTTGTCGCTTACGTGTTCATGCGCAACGAGAGCACGACAAGCTATCGATGGGTTTTGCAGAGGTTGAGAGACGTGATTGGGTATGATAAGGAGCCGTCGGTTTTCTTGACAGACCGTGAGCTTGGGCTATGTGCTGCATTGAGGGAAGTGTTTCCAGGAACCTCGCACTTACTTTGTCGATGGCACATTAACAAAGATGTGGAGGCTCGGGTCACTACTATGTTCAAAAACAAGAAGATCGGTGCGTCTTTCAAAAACGGAAAATGGAAACGTATCATGGACGCTGCAACCGAGGAAGATTATGAGGCCGCTGTAGAAAACATGAAAGATAGGTGGGCAAGTTATCCAGCACTGATACAATATGTAGAGAACATATGGCTTTGTCGTAAAACGAAGTTCGTGACATTTTGGACAAACCAAGTTCTACATTATGGAAACACCAGCACATGCAGAGTTGAGAGCCAACATTCGGCCGTGAAGATGTGGTTTGATTCCTCGACAGGTTTGGTGTTTGCTTATTGTACTTCATGTATGTACTTTTATCTAGGAATTTCAGTTACAAATCATAACGGTTTTTCTTTGTAATGTGCAGGTTCTTTGGATACCGTATGGGCTCGAGTTCATAGCCACATTGGTAATCAAATCATCGCAATTCGTAATGGTTTGGAGGCTTCTAGGTCGAAGATAGGTCAAAAGTACCGACAGTTGCCACTGTCACGTATAAACGGGAAGGTGTCTCAGCATTGTTTGAAGGTTCTCGATGAGGAGACAAGGAGGATGAAGGAGCTGAGTTATCAAGTGCACGAACGATGTGGATGTGCAATGCGTGTGACCCACGGGTTGCCCTGTGCATGCCAGATACATGATTCGCTAGCTGCTGGGACAGGATTGTACATACGACAAATTCACCCGTTTTGGAGGACCTTGGTTATTGGTTCTAGAGATGGTGGGACGGTGCCTCGCAATGATTCGACCGAGGATGCCGCACATTTTCGTACTCTGATGGAGGAGGTGTTCGATAGTGATCCTGCTGTTCTTCGAAACGTGTCTCGCATCATTGAAGAGGAGTTGCATCCGGATCATTCCGATCTCAGAGAGCCTGCTGTAAACCACCGGGTTCATGGTCGACCAAGAAACAATGATACAAGACGTGATCGTTCTTATTTTGAACATGTAAACCGCCAACACACTGAACGCGGCGCACGACAAACAGGTACGATTGAGTGTTGTGTTTTTCACATAAATCAGCGTTCACTAAACTATTAACTGAAACCTACATCTGTGCAGGAGATGTAAACGACATTAGCCAAAGCCGTTATCGACACATGCTTCCAGGGCCGATGTTGCCTTTCATCACAGGATGGAAGGATGTCATTGGCGATGGGAACTGTGGGTTTCGTTGTGTGGCCGAGTTCTTCTTCGGTGATCAAGGCCGATGGTATGACGCTCAAGAGACAATAGCGAATGAGGTCCTCGGTTATCAAGCCCTATATGAGAGGATTTATGGGCTTGGAAGACTTGAGATCAATGTGCAGCGTATTCGATGGGACGGCGGGGCGGTTGATTCCCGTCATTGGATGGTTGCAATACAAGATTTATTTCCTATTGCGACTTGGTTCAACGCAGCGGTTATTATTCTTGGTGTAGGCCAAACACCAACTTGCTACCATCCATGGATTAACCACATCAAAACTATAATTAACCACAAAATCAAAACTACAAATAATTTCAACACAATAACAGACCAAATCAAAACTATAATTAACCACAAAATTGCCAAAATTTAAGCGCAACAACGACAACCCAATAAAAAACAATTAAAATAACAATAACAATAACAACAATTTAAGTAAACAACCATAATACATAACAACAACAACGGCAAAAACCAATACAAACCAAACCAAATTTGCATAACAATAACAATACATAGCAACAACAAACTTATTAAAATAAAATCACGAATTATTGTAAAACTAAATCAACAAAAATTACATAACAATAACTATTGCAAAACTAAATCAAGAAAAAAATTATTTTAATGCCACAAATGAAGGACACAAATATTTTCAAATCAAAACATGCACCAAATCAACAAAATCGAGGACAAAAAAAAACATAAATTAAAAAACAAAGGAAAAACATAAAACAAAAAAAAATTGGGGGAAAAACAGAAAAACACAATACCCAAAAAAAAAAATGGGAAAAACTAAAAAAAAAATTAAATAAAAAGGGAATACCAGAAGAAAAAAAAAATTGTATTTTATTACAAAAAAGCTCTTAAGATTAAAGTTTTTTAAGCTTACTAACGATAATCCTAACCATTATTTAAGGTTTTACGCATACTTTTAAGCAAAAAATAAATCAATCTAGTCAAAGACCGGTTTTATAGGATTTTGGACGGAATTGAATACCAAAATATATATATTTCTAGACCCAAATACTGGACTGGTTAATTTGGTCCAGTCTGATCTGACGTCAGTCCGGTCCATTTAGTTTTGTCTAAAATTTGAACCGAACTACTTTGGACCGATTTTAGATTTTTTTTAAATACAAAATTTTAAATTTTTAATTATTTTATAGAAAACTCGAAAAAAGTATAGGAAAAACTATATTTAAACGTCTTTTTTTTGTATTTAAAAGCTCATAAGATTAAAGTTTTTAAAGCTTATTAACAATAATGTTAACCATTATTTAAGGTTTTACGCATACTTTTAAGCAAAAAAAAAAAAAAAAAAAACCAATCTAGTCCAACATCGGTTTTATAGGATTTTGGACTGGATTGAAGACCGAAAAATATATTTCTAGACCCAAATACCGGACTGGTTAATTCGGTTCAGTCTGATTTGACGTCAATTCGGTCTAGTCCAGTCCATTTTTTGTCTAGCTAGACCGATTTTTGAACACCCCTACATACAACAAGATAATTGTAGATTTCATATTACTCAAGATGACCAAGAGTGGCAACAACCAACAAGTATACTAAACCGGATGGCTTTTTAATACTCCATCCGTTTTAAATACGTGCTCCATTTTCCATTTTCGACCGTTTTTAAATACTTGCTCCATTTAATTTCCTTATTTGAAAAGCTTTTACAATATTTAATTCATTTCTCTCAACTAGTGGACCCAA